AGGCATGCACACTGCCCTCTGCTCTCAAGCAGAAGACTGTCTGCCATAGAAGGGAGGGCCGTGGGAGGGCCACATTACACAGAGCAGGGAGGGATGTTGGAGGGCCGTATTAAACCGACCCCCGGGCCGTAAATGGCCCGCGGGCCGGACTTTGGACATGCCTGCTTTAGACTGAGCCCATGTTGATGGTGTGCATTGATCTAGGTCTGTGGCAGGCAGACTCTGTAATATTCTGGGAGAACCTGTGTATTTCCAGCGGCCCCTCTAGGGGTGAGCGCTACAAATTCAATCATGTGAAAAGCAAGTTCCTGTTGACTTACTTCATCAGCACATGACTGAGTTTCTAAAGTGAACAGGAATGTGCTAGTCATGCAATTGGATAACTGAAGTTGATAGTCACACAGTTTAAGTGAAACTTCTCTAATCCATCAATAAGTCAGCCTCCCCGCCTTCAACCCCAGGAAGATATAAAAGGAACAAATTGATGCAGGTCTTTATTCATGATTACATTATGTAATGTTGCAAATCTGTGTTAAGGTAGAACTCCAGGCAAAATCTAACTGATCTTAAAAATTCTCTCTTCCGCCTCCAAATACACATTCTGACTACCCTGTGTAAGAAAAATCTGTATACTTACCTATTTTCAGGCCACTCCGGTCTGGTCACATAATCCAGCTCCCTTTGGTCAGCCGATGGGGGTTGCAGGGGAGAGAAGGAAGCGCTGACAACCTATGAGCCTATGAGTGAAATCGCCACTCCCAGGCATAACAAGCCGTTGACAAGTGCTCTCTCCTCTCCCATGCAGCTGCCGCTGGCCAACAGAGGGGAGATCACATGATTTGAATGGAGTGGCCTGAAAATAGGTAAGTATACAGATCTTTCTTACACAGGTGGGTCAGAATATGTGTTAGGAGGGAGACAGGAGCATTTTAAGACTAGTTAGGTTTGCCTAAAAATTCTAAGTTGCCTGACATTCTAAGTTGTGTTTATTATGTTTACTTGGTAGAAATAAATGTATTGTTTGTGCTGATGACCATTGTAATCCAACATTTTGGGATAATGTAACTTGAGCTGTACATATTGTATTTAGCAGAAGTTCTCTGAGACCAACAAGCTATTTGGAGGACTCCTTGTTAAAAAAGTTAAGAAAGGCTGAACTAGACTCATGACGGAGCAACACATGCAAGAGCATAGAGGATTCCCTATATATATAAGTGCAGCACTACTCCCAAATTGTTATATGTATAACAAACACAAAATTCAGCTATGATTGTTAAATGACAAACTTAATCTCTCCTGCAGCACCACACATAAACATGCAATGTGAATTCCAAAAATATTAAAATCAGTCCCGTGTGCTGAAAAATATAAACAACACTTCCTCTTATCACTTGGTGCAGTGTCTCCAATGATATACTCCTCCCCCTCCTTCTCCTTGAGTGCTTCACTCAAGAAGTGCTCTCACCTTAAAAATATGACCTGCACATTATAGAGGTCATTTAAAGCCTTTTTTCCCCCCATGTGGTACAGATGTCTCAGTGTCCACTTCCTCACAGTCACTCATGGCATACTCCATAGCGTTTAACTGTTTTAAAAAAAAAACACATTTATTAAAAACCTTTAAAAACACTCACATTTGTCAGTATACCTTCTACTAAGTGCACTCAGGAAAATCACAATGTTAAACAAGCAGCACCATTTGATATAAAGCTTGTATCAGCACATAGACCTGCAATTCTAGACACTTCTTGGTCTACGTGCAATGACGACACCAAGCCCCACTCAACGTGTTTCGTCAAAGTCATGAGTCTTCATAAGGGGATTTGGATAGTGTAATGGCATCCATCTTTTTATATTCAATCATTCAATAGAGTTACCACAATGCCATTTTGTTGAAGATCTCTATATATGGTGCACTTGTTCTTCCACTCAGCAGATATATTCATAATTGCTTAATATTTAATAATTGCATAACCACAATTTTATAACTTAAAAAAATCTAAACATAAAAGCATCCATCTATATCAGTAAATGAATGGAGAACTGTTCTTGCAACAGGACCAAAACTTGTAAAAGCATAGAGAATACAGGGTCTAGAGCCATAAAGTATTAGAAACAGCAGCAACTAAGCTGGTTGGAATGGGGAAAGAAGAGTGGACCATTCAGGTGAGTCATTAACAGAGCAATACTGAAAAGGCAGGCACAGAGCAAGGGCCATGAAGTAGGAGTGGATGGAGGTTTAGGGTTTTAGGCACAAGGTAAGAGGGCATGCTAATACTAGAACAGAGATAGGTGCTGGAGCTGCAGGTAAAGGATGGGCAAGCACACTTACAGCACATTCTTTAAGTAAGACACATGTCATAGTGTAGTGTTTCACAAACAGTGATTTTTTTGGAAGAGATGAAATTTGGTTCTTGATATGTTGTTTGAGCTAGTAGAAGAATTCTCCATGGTCTTACAACTTATTTCTGTTTCTCTTTTTACTTTTTACCAGAACAATGATGAAATCCTTAACACAATACAAGGTATAACAAAAAGATTTCTGTTTTTACGAACAAGAAGCATAAAAAATGTTACGTTTGAATCAGTTGAGTCCCCAGGAATGTTCCTCTGCACCAGCAGCAGTAGCCCTTCTGCAGTGAATGTATCAAACTTTTCAGATAACACAAAGATCATCAGTTTTATAATTGACAACGAAATGGGTGGCCGTTTTATTATGCTTGGAAATAATCGAATTTCTCTGCGAGTACCAACTGAGATTCTTGAAAGCTTACAAGAGGATAATCAAATGAAGCAAAATATTTATGAAAGATTTACATACAGACCCTATGGAAATTGTGTTTGTTGGCAAACCAGACATTTAAACATAAACCAACTGTTTTAATAATCTTTGAGGAAAACAGCTAAACCAACAAATCATCAATCAAGAAATTCAAACAATTTCACTTGTATGCGAACAGATCTGTGAAGAATACATTTTTCATAAAGCTATTATTATATTCTTTTATTTTTTTTTTTTCAAGAAACAAAGGTTATGCTATAACTTTTCATCCTTTCTTTATAAGACACATATTGAAACCTAGTCATTTATGCAATCCTAACCCTCTTGTGTTGAGCTGTGTTGTTGCTGTATTGTCTCCCGTTATATTGTAAAGCGCTGAGCAAACGGCGCTATATAAATCCTGTATAATAATAATAAAAATAATAATAATAACCTAAGGCATTACTATGGCCTTAGCAACTCATGCAACTACTATGGTGCTCTTCACTGGGTTTCAGCACTATCTATTTACATATTATTATGTGTAGTTAGCAATAGCATATGGCAGGACTTTAAGGCTTGGTTCACACTGGACGCAATTTAAAATCGCGTGTTTTGTTTGCAATTTCACTGTGTTTTCTGAAGATTTCCCAATGATTTCTTGCGTTTTCCATTGCGTTTTGCAGTGCGATGTCTTGTAGTCTATATGTAAAATTGCAACAAACTGCAGAAAAAGTAATACAAGAACTACTTTTGAAATCACGCTGCAGCAAATCGCGTATGTTAGGATACCCCCATTCACATTCATTAGATCCAATTTCAGGTACAATTTCAATTCCCAAATCGCACCTGAAATTGCAGTGGTGTGAGCCAGGGCTTAAGGGATTTCCTTGGGGATTGAAAGTAGACAATTGGTAGCCCTTTAATGGTCTCGCTAAGGGGCCCCATTATGCACAAGTTCATTCCCACTGTATTGTTTGTGATTTCCCTTCTACATTGATTTTGGTTGTTGAATCAGCTTTTGAAATTGCACTGACTATGTCATAATAGCTCTACTTGTGGTACAACTCCACTACTATTTAGAGAAGAGGGTAACTAACACCAGCTATAAACCTTTGTGAATTGAGCCTTAAGAAATACGAGGCTCAATTCACTAAACAAGATCTCATGAGATAATTGAATCACGTGACACATTCTTTCCAATTATCTTATGCGATACTAAAAATGTCAATTCATTATCGCCTTGTGAGGTATTTACTTAAAAAGAAAAAATGGCAAATACCTCATAAAACGGTGTAAAGTGAATTCACTAAAGGAAATAAATAAAGAAATACATGAGTTACATAAGTAGTGGTCCACTCATGTGATATTTACGGAATGTAAAAATATAATAGCCAATTTGGAGTGGTCTCCACCTTTTTGGATCAGTTCTGTCAACAGTAATGCATAAAAACCTAAATATGGAAAAAAACAGAATCAAGGTTTGATTTACTTAAAGAATAACTAAAGGCAAAACTTTTTTTTTAGTTTTGGATAGAGTGGAGAGTAATTAATACCCCTTTCAGGTTTTTATTGCTGTCTGTGCCCCCATTGGGGAGATTCACCCTATTTGTCCTGTTTACTGTATCATTGAAAGTGAAAGTAAAAGAAAATGCCAATTTTTGGGTTGTCTCCAGAAAAGTAATATCCTGTTTTGGATAGCGAACAGGAAGTGAAGGGAAATCTCCCCAATGACAATTTTGTCTTTTATTGGTGGAAGAAGGATATTTATATATGTGTGTGATTTTTGATACTATTTTAATTCAATATTTGACATTTATAACAAAATTTTGTATTTACTTAATTTAACTTAGTTGTTTTTGATACACCATGTGTGTCCTGTGAAAGTAGCTCCTCTCTGACTGGTATTCCAGTAGGTTTTCTTCTATTGCATTAATACATATACTGAAGGGATTGCACTGATTTAGTGAGTTGGCATATGTGTACTGTTTAAACCAGGGCTTAAAATTTCAAGTCCTGAGCTACTAGCCAGGCCTTAAGAGTTACTCGCCAACAACAAACACACACAAACAGAGACACCTGTACACACAGACATGTACATACACACACACACACACACACACACACACATACACACACAGAAACATGTACACACACGCACAGAGACACATGTACACACACACATACAGACACATGTATACACACACAGGCACTTACAGACACGCGTACACACAGTTACATGTACATACACAGAAATACACACGCACAGACACATGTACATACACACAGACACATGTACATACATACTCAGACACATGTACATACATACACAGAAACATGTACACACAGACACATGTACGTACATACACACACACATGTACATGCACACAGACACATGTACAAACACACATACATCTACATACACGCAGACACATGTACAGATACACACATACACAGACACATGTACATGCATACACACACACACACATGTACACAAACACACACACACACCACCCCCCCCCATAAAAAGTTGCAGTACTTCGTTGTTCACTCACAGAGCCAGGTACTGCACTCTAGGGGAAGGCAGAGAGCACAGCACACACTCCTTCCTTTGCTTTCACTGCTCTCAGCTATTGAGCAGTCTGACGGCTCCCAGTGCCAATGACAGATCCGGCCTGAGCTCCGAGCCTGCTCAGCAAGACGGCCCTGGGAGACATATTCGCCCCCACCATAATTTCCACTTGCCATTGGCGAGCAGGTGAGTGAAAATTTCAAGCCCTGGTTTAAACCATCTTACCTCTTTATTGGTAATAAAAAACTACCAGGGGTTCTAATTCTTCTCCATTTTATCTATCCTACTGGAGATAAAATACTTGAATTTGAATCATGGTTTTATGAGATAAATACCTCACATTTGGATGAAATAGCTCATGCTTTATTTTAGCAGTGCTTTTTTTTTAATTGCAAACATTTTTTTGAAAAATTCTATGAGATATTTTATCTCAGACCACAAAAAAATAATAACTGTAAAGCCTCCAGGGAGTCCAGTATGGCTGCCTCCAGCATTATGCAAGAATTGGTAATTTCAGGTTGAAACCGCCAGTAGGCCATCACCAGCTGTGTGGCCAAAAAATACTTGTGGCTATCATGAAACGCCATCCCCCCTTGAAGTGATGGCCATTTTATCTCAGATTTTAAAGAGGAAAATAACTCTTTGTGAATTGAGCCCAAGATCTATTTCAGGTTCGATGTCAAGAAAATCATGTGTGAAAAAAAAGTAAAGCAGCTTTGTGAACTGAGCCCATATAGTTGCTCACTATGTTATGTAAATTGAGTTTGAGATATTGAGATGTTATGTTTTGTAAGTTCTCCTGCTGTTTGCACCACAGAATGCCGCTGAAGAGATATCACCAGCTAAAGTCTTCTACAGAAACAATAGCTTCTTGGAGAGTCAATCATCTGGTCCCCCACTGCACTCAAAGACTCCTCCCACTGTCCCCCTACATAACTACCAAGTGCTGCAGGCTTCTAGGAGATTATCGCTCCCGGAAATATTAGATATGAATATCATATTATATGTGGTTAAAATGTTATTAAATAATGAAAGTTGCATTAAAAACCCTGCAAAACCTTTAACGACTATTTGTGAAAAACTATTTGCCCTTGTAATTTTTTTTTGTGTTTTGTTTTTGGACATATTATTTAAAAGACCATTATTGCACAATAAATGGAAGTGAAACTATCTCAGACCCTGATGTACAGTATTGCATTCTTTTTTTTCTCAAGAATCTTTATTCGAATTTTGTAAATTACAGTAGGTTGAAAAGACAAAAAAACTTAAAGTTGTTGAGAAGCCAAAATGAAAAATTGCATTTTTAGAACAGAAGGTTTTATCATCGTTCTCAATGGCGACTGAACTTGCACTCTAGTTAGATGTAATACAGCAATCAAATGTGAGTGATCAACCCTGGACGCAGATAGTCTATGTACAGGGCTAGTCACTGGCATGTGATCACTGCATGAGCAATTATATGTGAGCAGGCACGATTAGCTACGGAAGTTGGCAGCTGTCCATTACTTTTAAAGACGCTGCTTCCAGCAGCTAATTGTGGGAACCCCCACTGAAATACTATTGGGAGCACTAATGTAAATATCCTGCACACAGCTATGTTTCATTATCAGAGAGCAAATACTAGACTGGTTAGCTGTAAAGAAACTCAATATATTGTCACAGGTTAAAGTAAAGTAGTTCTTCAGCCAGCTAGTGTTGGGGCTTTTACGATGGTGCACATACGCACCGTGCTAATAAAGTAGTTCACATGTCAGCTTACTTCTGGATCTGCCTGGAGCAACTCAGGTCAACAGTGCTTCAGTTTCTGTCTCAGGCTGCAGGTTTGTAGCAGATCAGTGTGCACTCAGGAACTGCAACGTGCACACACCGGTCCCCTCACAGCTAGAGGAAGTTCTTTTTCTAAAGTCCAGGGGAAAAGCTGTTCTCCCCCGTTAAGAGTGTATATCTGGAAGTTGCAGCCCATCACTCTATCTACTCTTAAACAAGATCCTTTCCCCAGATGACATTTCCTAAAGTTCAATGCAGCCTGCATCAAAGTCTTTCAAGTTCTTCCTGCCCACCGGCTCCCTCTGCTGGATGGATGCTGGATGGCACTGAAAGCCAGCATAATCTTTTATAGGCACACAAAGAATAGTGGCTCTTTCTCAAACAAAACCCCTGGCTACAGGTATCTCCACCCATGAGAGAGTTCAATAAGTGTGTGCGTGTATATATGACTCTCTCTCTCTCTCCCCTCTCTCTTCCCGCTTTCTTTCTCTCTCCCACTTCCTCTCTCTTTTCCCTCTCTCTTTCTCTCTCTCTATCTCTCTCTCCCTCTCTATCTTCCCTCTCTCTTTTTCTCTCTCTCCCCTCTCTCTCTCTCCCATTTCTCTCTCTTCCTTCTCTTTCTCTCTTCCCTCTCTTTCTTTCTCTTTTTTTTTGTCTTGGTAGAGTGCATGTCATCAGCACAGGGCCGATCAGCACTGTCCAGACAGAGGTCAGGGGTTCTGCATCCTCCTAGAGTAGAATGAAAACTCCTCCTACAAGTTTTAACATGTGCTCTGCTGGACACTGATAGAAGTCACAAGACTACTCTAACTGCTGATGAGAAAAGGTATTTAGCAGTTTATATTTACTAAAATAATTGCATTTCCATGTTCTGTGTACTGTGGGAGACCAGATATAGTGAATAGTGTCCTGGGTTTAGTAACACTTTAAATCTGCCATTGCCATGAAACAAAGCATTGCGGTTGCCACATGTATAGAGCACTGTCGGCTGTAATGTTAGAATTTGGGTGGGTGGCTGCCCATGTAAAAAAGCCATTAGAGTTTGTGTTGTGATCTTTGAATTATTTCCACATTGGCATGCATCTACAGTATGGGGCCATTGCAGTTTTTGTTGTATACAACAGGGCAGTGTTACGAATGATCCATTCTGGGTGTCACCTTCACTTAATACTCCAGATACTTTTAAATATTAGATCTACAACTTCCTAATTACAGTAATGCAGCATGAGCTAGAGACACAATTTTAACAGGAGTTTCCTAAGGCTCCATGTACACGGGATGTTTGGAAAACACTTCTGAAAGATGGAAACTGACTGCTGGAAAACATAGGTTAAAAAACGTCTGTTTAGCCGCGTTTGCATACCGTGTTTATGTGCGTTTATGAGCATTTGTGTTTAGAAGCATTTTTTAAAGATAACCTCAGGAGACCTTCCAAAATGCCCAGAATGCACTGAAAAACAGTAAAAAATTAACTATTTCAGACATTTTGAGAGGAATAGAGAGAGCAGAAGCAGAGAGAGCAGTATGTGTTGAGATGACCTGTCTTTTCTGGTTGTATTCACTATGGATCCCATCATGAGCATAATGCGGCACGTTCTACCATTTTTTCCTTCACGCAAAGCCTGGAACTGACTGCGCTGGTGTGTACCGGGTCCATTTGAATACATGGAAAACACTTTGCATGCATTTCTGATGATGAAAAAGGCTCTGGACAGCATCTGGATATGGAACAGTTAAAAAACGCTTCTAAACGCAAACGCTGATAAACGCAGGTAACTGCGTTTACATGCGGATACAAGCATTTACAAGCGTTTGGCGTTTGAAATGCTGATAAAATCCTGAATGCAAGTTTGGTGCATTCAAAAAACGACTGTAAACTCAGCTCCCTGTAAACGACGATGTGTACATGGACACATAGGAACACATTAGGGAGAGTTCAGGGGTTGCTAAAAAAATGGCGAAAAGCTCCTGAATGTAAGTTTATCAGCTGCAGTGTACATGAAACTTAGGGCCTGAAAATAATTTCAAGAGGAAAAAAGTTGAAGAAGGTTTATTTGTAAAGTACTGAGGAACTGCATCATGGAAAAGATTTTAATGCTATATACAGTATGTTACAGGATTTACATATATATTGTACATTCACATCAGTCCCTAACCCTTGAGGGTTAGGGACTGATGTGAATGTGCAATATATATGTAAAGTGCTGCATAAATTGACAGCACTATATAAGTACCTGAAATAAATAAATAAATACTTCCTCCTGTAGAACCAAATTGTCAAATTATGGGGTAGACTGACTAAAACATGTGCCCTCAGAATCTGGTGCAGCTGTGCATGGTAGCCAATCAGCTTCTAACATCAGCTTTTTCAAATAAGCTTTGGCAATAAAACCTGGGAGCTGATTGGTTTCTACAAAGAGCTGCACCAGATTTTGCACTTACCAGCTTTAGTAAATAACTCTCTATGTATTAATATACTGCATGTATAATTATATTTATATATTATATATTTATTTATGTTTACCCTACTGCATAAATAAAATAAAATGAAAAATATTCCTTCAAAAACATTTGTAATAAAATAAACAAAAAAAAAAGTGTTGGTTAATAAAGTGTCTATCTCCATGTATAGGCTTGTTTCCAGAGAGAAGTGATGCAAGGATGTATGGGAGGCTGATATAATCTGCTGACCTTGAATTTCCTTACCTTCTTATACAATTAGTCTACATGACATGCTTACAAAATTTCTTCTGCAAGATCCGGATGTAAACAGTTGTGCAAACTGCCTTATTTCATAAATGTCAATCTAGATAAGCTCACTTCTTTAAACCTGAATTCCAGGCAGATATAAAAGACACACAGGAATGTAGCACTGTATTAAAAAAAATGCATTCTTAAATATATATATTTTTTACAAGAAGTGTAAATACGTAAGTGTGAATCAGCCTCTGTACGCCATAGCTCAGAGTGGGGAGGAGATGCAAACAATCGGCTGTGCTGCTGCAGGGCAAGTAACTTGATGATAGGAAGAGAGAGCAAATTGACGGAGATTAATCACTGTGCTGCTTCCCATTTTAAAAGCTGGGTAGGGACAAGACCTGTAAATGTTACTGAACAACAGAAAAAATCAGGTCTTCTGTTCTGCCAGATTGGACTGTGCTGTGCGGCAGAGCTGAATGTATAGAAAGGCAAATTCAATGCAAAATGCAGATAAAACAGCTCCCTTATATGTTATTATTATTATACAGGATTTATATAGCGCCAACAGTTTGCTCAGCGCTTTACAAAATAAAGGGAGATAATACAGCAACAATACAGTTCAATACAAGAGGGTTAGAAGGGCCCTGCTCTTTGGAGCTTACAATCTAAGAGGGAGGGGCTAGTGGTACAAAAGGTAGTAACTGTGGGGGATGGACTGGTAGGAGTAATAGAAGATTTGGTTATTAGC